ACTGACTGTCCATTGATTTCCCCTATAATTACCTAAGGAATATCTGTAAAGTACATTCTTCTCAAATCCTTGAGGAATTTCATGGGACAATTATCCAAGAACAGCTCAAGATTGAAAAGTGCTGTTAATTGTGCGACCAAAATACTAGAGCTACAGCAATTTGCTATTTAGGAAAGAATATTTATAGAGGCTATTCTAATCAGTGAGAGGATTTTTCCCCCTTATGTTTCATTGTTGCAGGTGAATCTGGTTCATATGTGGTGACAAACATTTTCTTGAAGAAAATGATATTTTCCATGGCAGTGATGGCAACACTGTCAATGTTACTGTCAGGAGTTACATGCCTTATTCTTTGTACTACAGCATGTACTATGGAGAAACCTCCCTTTATTAAGCACAAGTATTTTCTGCCAGGGGATTTCATAGTGGCTGGGATACTATCTCAATTCTACATGATATCTGATCCAGTTGATTTCACAAGGCACCCATCTGAAGATCTGGTTGATGAGATCGTGTAAAGACTTTCACTTCTTAACTGTAGCATATCTTAAACCATATATCTTTCTCCAATAGGTTGGCCGGGCATAGTTGATTACTTGTATTACTTGCAGCACAAATTATTTGTTCTGTTTCTTGCTGTTGGTTCCTTCATTCTAAAACTAATATAGATTGATCACACTGATATTTCTTACTGGACAAATAAATATTTTATATAAACACACTTATAACAGCTCTCAACTCAGTGATTTTCCTATTCTCCTAAGAGTTACTGATGTTTTAATAGGATTGTTAATGTTCTTTCAAGCAATTCATCTGTTTCTTAGTGAAAATTGTTTATATATATATATATATATATATATATATATATATATATATATATATATATATATATATATATATATATATATATATATATATATATATATATATATATATATATATATATATATTCATAATATTGGTGGTTCTGTAATGTCATTTTTCAGGAGGAGAAATATGATTTGTAATATATATCTCATTACAGATATTTCCTACAGAACTATCAACATATCCTAGCCTTGGTTTTTGCTATAAAGGAGATAAACAAGAACAATAATATATTATCCAACATCAGTCTGGGTCTTCAAATCTCTAATAGTTATTTCATGGCGAGATGGACTAACCTGGCTTCAATGGAGCTTGTTTCAACACAGGGCAGATTCATGCCCAACTATAAGTGTGATGTCAAGGATTGGGTGGTTTCTGTCATTGCAGGACCTACCTCTTCCATCTTTCCTTTCATGGCAAACATTTTGAATGTCTACAAGATGCCTCAGGTAAGATTTGTTCTGGAACAAAGTTTTAGTAGACTGTAAGAACAGCTTTGAAAGGCAGGAAGAAGAGCTGCAGGCAATTACAACACTCTAATAAATATAATCTGGGCCTAAACCAGAAGGGTAACCTCAGAAAGCATCTCAGGATTGACCCCCCCAAAACACTTTATTCTTTGGAACATAAAGGCAGGAGAGCGAATGCTATCCAGTTTTCAAGATTGATGTCAGCCTTTCAAGATTATGTAGACTAGGAAACAAAATCCTGAAATCTTCTATTGTACAGTTACAATAAAGAATCTTGCAAATCTAAAAATACTCCCTCCTTTTTACCTTTACAAACTTATTTTTTAAAAAACAACAACAAATAATCTTTTTTTTTCTTTTACATTACATTTGGTGATTTAGAAATAAAGTGGCAACCTAAACAAGCTATGAATTTGGATACTTTTTAGTACTCTGCTAGATTTCTTCATCAATATGAATCTGAAACAATTAATATACAGTGGGGAAAAAGTATTTAGTCAGCCACCAATTGTGCAAGTTCTCCCACTTAAAAAGATGAGAGAGGCCTGTAATTGTCATCATAGGTAGATCTCAACCATGAGAGACAAAATGAGAAAACAAATCCAGACAATCACATTGTATGATTTGGAAAGAATTTATTTACAAATTATCCACCTTTTATTCATAAACCAGTTATAGTAAAGTTCATCTCAATACTTTGTTATATATCCTTTGTTGGCAATGACAGAGGTCAAACGTTTTCTGTAAGTCTTCACAAGGTTGGCACACACTGTTGCTGGTATGTTGGCCCATTCCTCCATGCAGATCTCCTCTAGAGCAGTGATGTTTTGGGGCTGTCGCTGGCAACACAGACTTTCAACTCCCTCCAAAGGTTTTCTATGGGGTTGAGATCTGGAGACTGGCTAGGCCACTCCAGGACCTTGAAATGCTTCTTACGAAGCCACTCCTTCGTTGCCCGGGCAGTGTGTTTGGGATCATTGTCATGCTGAAAGACCCAGCCACGTTCATCTTCAATGCCCTTGCTGATAGAAGGAGGTTTGCACTCAAAATCTCACGATACATGGCCCCATTCATTCTTTCCTGTACACAAATCAGTCGTCCTGGTCCCTTTGCAGAGAAACAGCCCCAAAGCATGATGTTGCCACCCCCATGCTTCACAGTAGGTATGGTGTTCTTTGGATGCAACTCAGCATTCTCTCTCCTCCAAACACGACAAGTTGTGTTTCTACCAAACAGTTCTACTTTGGTTTCATCTGACCATCTGACATTCTCCCAATCCTCTTCTGGATCATCCAAATGCTCTCTAGCAAACTTCAGACGGGCCCGGACATGTACTGGCTTAAGCAGGGGGACATGTCCGGCACTGCAGGATCTGAGTCCCTGGCGGCGTAGTGTGTTACTGATGGTTGCCTTTGTTACATTGGTCCCAGCTCTCTGCAGGTCATTCACTAGGTCCCCCCGTGTGGTTCTGGGATTTTTGCTCACCATTCTTGTGATCATTTTGACCCCACAGGGTGAGATCTTGCGTGGAGCCCCAGATCGAGGGAGATTATAAGTGGTCTTGTATGTCTTCCATTTTCTAATTATTGCTCCCACAGTTGATTTCTTACACCAAGCTGCTTGCCTATTGCAGATTCAGTCTTCCCAGCCTGGTGCAGGTCTACAATTTTGTTTCTGGTGTCCTTCGACAGCTCTTTGGCCTTCACCATAGTGGAGTTTGGAGTATGACTGTCTGAGGTTGTGGACAGGTGTCTTTTATACTGATAACAAGTTCAAACAGGTGCCATTAATACAGGTAATGAGTGGAGGACAGAGGAGCCTCTTAAAGAAGAAGTTACAGGTCTGTGAGAGCCAGAAATCTTGCTTGTTTGTAGGTGTGGTTTATGAATAAAAGGTGGTATTAAACGTTTATTTAAGAAAGGTTTAGTCTGTATGTGATTGTCTGGATTTGTTTTCTCATTTTGTCTCTCATAGTTGAGGTCTACCTATGATGTCAATTACAGGCCTCTCTCATCTTTTTAAGTGGGAGAACTTGCACAATTGGTGGCTGACTAAATACTTTTTTCCCCACTGTATTTGATTCCTTGAATTATTTATTAATGCACTCTATAGAAATATCAATTCATTTCATGTATCCATTTTCTTACCATGATTTAATAATGAAGTAAAGGATTCATGGACTTGATGAAGTAAAGGTAATAGTTATCTTGATCTTTATATTGCAGAATATATTTCCTTCCTTCCTTTCTTCCTTCCTTCCTCCCTCCCTCCCTCTCCATGAATTTTTCATGATGACACAAGTAACAAAATAATTAAGCTATGACAAATAAATCAAAATTGTACAGAAATTCAAATAAAATATTTATTTGACATTTGTTCCCTTATATCTCATCATACTGTAAAAGGCATGAAGTACTTAGCAAAAATAGTAGAACTAAAAGATAAATTAGCTGAAACTATAATCTTCAATTCCTCATCCTATCTCACCTTCATCCCATCATTACTTCATCCCGTCATTACTTCATTTCTTGAAATGTCTTCCATTTCCTATGAGGAGAAAATTGGTGATATGTGTATGGGTTTCCTTCCTAAATCAGGACCTAGAAGATTTAGGTGTCAATGCTGGAAACGTTGGATGTTCCCACTCTGACAACTGATGAAAATTGCAGCCATTTTCTCTTTGCTTTTTCTGGTATTTAGAAATGAGGTGCAGAAGGGGGGGTTTGGATGAATGCTCGAGATCAGCTAGTCATAATAATAATGCTGCTTTGTGGGAACCCAAGGATGAACTGATAATGTTTTGGCCGGCTGAGGACCTGGGGAGGAAGTCTGCATTTTAGGCTAATTGGAGAATGTTATTTATGACAGCTTATTGAGGATGGGAATTGCACTTTGTTACTTTGTTTCCAGGGGAAGAGAATTTAGTTTTTGGTTCAACTATGTAGTGTCTATACTTTGTTTCCTGAATAAAATGTTCTTTAAGGAAGATGTTTTGCCTTGAAGTTCTTTTGATGGGTTTCATCTATCGAACCATGACATTAACTCAAAAACTCACAAACAGCTTCAAAACTGTCTGGGGTTCACCGACTTTTATCAATTCATCCCCTTATTTGCCAAAATTGCTTTACCCCTCATGGACTTGTTAAAAACCAGCAAAGATGTGGGAAAGCCGCAACCAGACCAGCCGCTGACATGGACTATGAACTGTCAAATTGCTTTCAAGAATATGAAAATACTATTTGTGGTTGAGCCGGTCCTAAAGCATCCCTACCCGGGAATCCCTTTGTGATTCAAGCCGATGCCAGCGACGTGGCCGTTGGAGCTGTACTATTGCAAAAGAACCGTGAGGGGGTCCTGCAGCCCTGTGCCTACACCTCAAAAAAGTTCACCAACTGGCAAGAGAAGGTGGGCAGTGTGGGAGAAGGAAGCCTATGCAATTTGTTGGGTTCTATTAAACTGGTGGTACTACCTAGAAGGGAGCAAGGTGCCTTTCGAAGTATGGATTGATCACAAAAACCTAGAGGCACTGAAAACTCCCTGCAAGCTGTCCATGAAGCAAGTATGGTGGGTGCAATATTTTAACCAATTTAACTTCACCCTGAAGTACATATCGGGGGAAAAAACTTTTTACCTGACACTTTGTCCAGATTGCCTCAATACAAGAGCCAGTGTGAAGAGGTTAATGAAGCAATCATATCTACACCACAAGCTGCTTCTCATCTAACGCCACAAAGAGCCCCATCTTCAAGAGTCCCAAACCCTGATGACCCTGGGGTAAGGAAATTAAAACAGGAACTCCTCAATGATTGATGGTTCAAGGACAATCAAACCTCCTTGACATGCAGGGATGGATTAGCTTACAAAGGGGGAAGTTGTATTTGCCCAAAATCCTCCACCTCAACACTCTCCAGCACGGTCATGATGTGAAACAAGCTGGACACTTTAGCTATATAAAAACACTGCATCTGGTTTGTCAACAATTCTGGTGGCCAGGTTTGAAACGGGACGTAGAGAACTATGTCAAGAGCTGTGCTGTATGTGCCACCATGAAAAGAATTCCAGGAAAAACCCCTGGACTATTACAACCGGTTGCGGACCCTTCCCAGCCATGGGAAGAAATTGCTATGGATTTTATAGTGAAGTTACCTGAAAGTAGGGGGAATACGGTGATTTGGACTGTGATAGATCTTTTTTTGAAGCAGGCTCATTTCATTGCCTGTAAAGGACTCCTGTCAGCCCAGAAATTAACCAAGATGTTTCTTAAGCACATTTACAGGCTGCACAGCGCGCCAAAGCAGATAATCTCAGACTGAGGGGTACAATTTACGGCCAAGTTCTGGGGGGGGGGTTTCCTCAAGTTAATTGGCTTGTCATAAGGACTATTGTCGGCTTTTCACCCGTGTACGAATGGGGTGGCTGAAAAAGTGAACTCAATAGTGGAGCAGAAGCTATGTGGATTATCAGCAAATAAACTGGACTGACCTCCTCCTTTTCGCAGAGGTGGTTTACAATAACTCTGTTCACAGCAGCACCAGTTTTATGCCTTTTAAAGTTGCCACAGGAAAAAAATTCAACCCAATACCCGAATATCCTCAGGGACCTTCTGCTTCCCAAATGCTTGACCAGTGGGTGAGGGGGTGGAAGGAGGTTTGGGACAAAACAAAAATTGCTCTGAAAAAGACTTCTGAGACATATAAAAAAAAAGTGGATAAAAAGAGGGCTCCCAAAAGGTCATTCCAGGTTGGGGAAAAAGTTTACTTATCCACAATATATTTACAACTTAAGTTGCCTAGTATAAAAATTGGGACCAAAGTATCTAGATTCCTTCGCTATCATAAGAATCATTAACTCAGACTCTTAGGAAAAGTTCACCCTGTGTTCCATTGTAGCCTACTGAAACCTTTTCGGGGTTCTACCTTACAACCTCTCCCTAAGAAGACACCTGGCCCTCTGGTGGTAGCTGGACAGACCCATTATGAAGTGAAGCGTATTCTTGATTCTAGACTTTTTAAGGGAAAGTTACAGTACTTAGTGCAGTGGAAAGGATATCCATTGTCTGAAGCCATATGGATAAAATCTAGTGATGTAAAAGCTGACAGGCTCATTGGTAAATTCTATGAAAAGCACCCTAATAAACCGAGAGGCAACTCCTAACTTATGATTTTGTTTGAATTGCAGGATTTATCCTTTTTGTAAAGCGGGCTAGATATCAACACTGTAAACATTGGATGTTCCCACTCTGACAACTGATGAAAATTGCAGCCATTTTCTCTTTGCTTTTAATATGCTTTTTCTGGTATTTAGAAATCAGGTGCAGAAGGGGGGGTGTTGGGATGAGTGCTTGAGCTCAGCTAGCCATAATAATAATGCTGCTTTCTGGGAACCCAAGGACAAGCTGATAATGTTTTGACAGGCTGAGGAGGTGGGGAGAAAACCCACATTTTAGGCTAATTGGAAAACGTGATTTACGACAGCTTATTGGGGATGGGAATTGCACTTTGTTACTTTGTTTCTGGGGGAAGGGAATTGGGTTCAACTATGTAGTGCCGATACTTTGTTTCCTGAATAAAATGCTCTTTAAGGAAGAATTTTTGCCTTGAAATTCTTTTGATGGGTTTCATCTATCGGAATCATGATATTAGACCTTAAAACATGTGGTTCATTTTCACTATAATATTTCCTGAATTAATGTATATTTGATATTTCTTGCTTTGAATTTATATTACAGTAACAGCTGTTGTATAAAAAATCCACATTTTTTTCTGAAATTGATTAGATATCTTTCAATATTTGCAACAAACAAAATAAATTAAGAACAGAATTTTGAAATATAATGAATATTTCATTTTGGAAAACCATGTCCCCTCTTTCTCCTATGTTTAGCTCATTTATGGATCTTCTCCATTGATACATAGCAAGACACAAGGTGTTTTCTTTCATCGGTTTTTCCCAAATGGTGATCAAGAGATTATGGGTCTTCTCCAGCTGCTGTTGTATTTAAAGTGGACATGGATTGGACTGATTTTCCAACCTGAAAAGAGTGGTGAAAGGTTAATAGAAAATGCTGTTAATTTGTTTTCCCAGAAAAGAATCTGTTTTGACTTCATAGAAGAGATAGTCCAGCCAACATTTACCAATTATGTTGAAAGTATAGTTGATGATTTCCGTAAACTATACATTATTATCATGAAGAGCACTGTCAATGTGATAATCCTTTACTGTGAAAACCAATACATTATTACTATTACACTTTTGCCCTATTTTGAAGAAATAGTAGAGATACCAGTCAAGAGAAAAGATAAAGTTTGGATAATGCCAGCTCAGATGGAATTTACATCACTTTCCCTTCTCAAAATGTTGGGTATGGATGCTTTCCATGGTGCTATAACTTTTGAAGTGTCTTCCAAGGAGATCCCTGGATTCAAAAAATTCCTTCAGATGACAAAGCCAACTTCAGGAGAGGAAGACCAATTAATGAGAATGTTTTGGAAACAGGTTTTTGAATGTACCTTTGCTCAAGCATTGGTAGATGCTGGAAAGCTGTGCACGGGAGAAGAGAATTTTGAGAATGTACCTAAGTCTGTGTTTGACACCACCATAACTGGGCAGAGTTACAGCATCTATAATGCAATCTATGCTGTGGCACATGCTTTACATATCATGCTTTACCCCACATTTAAAGACAGGGCAAGAGAAGTTGGGAGAAAAATATTTTTGACTCAAGAAGCATGGCAGGTAATTAGAGAATGAATGAAGATTTCCCATTAATCTTCTTCTAATCAATGAGCTGCAATAACAACACTGGAGTGATGATTTTAAATCTACTATCTCTCCATTTTCCTCATCCTTCCAAGATTTGAAAAAAAAAAATGCAATTGTGAATAGATTAAAAAAACCCTATAACAATGTGGAGGAAAAGGTTTAGATGCTGCAGAATGTGTGTGATTCTCAGAAGTTCAAATATCTGTGGCAGAGTAGAAACTAGATGAGCATTTGTGGAATACTAATTCTATTAATGTGCTCAATTATATTAAATGGATGACCCATAATCTAATACCACTGCTATCCTCCCTCCCTCCCCCTCCCCCTCCCCCTCCTCTCCTCCTTTTCTCTTCCCTTCCTTCCTTCCTTCCTTCCTTCCTTCCTTCGGAAAACATTCAGAGAAGAGCAACTAAGATGATCAATGGCCTGGAGACTAAAACATATAAAGAATGGCTGTAGGACTTGGGTTTGGCTAGTCTAAAGAAAAGTTGAAACAGGGGAGACATGATAGCAGTATTCCAGTATTTAAGGGGCTACCACAAAGAAGAGGGGGTCACGTTATTCACCAAAGCACGAGAGGGCAGGATGAGAAACAATGGTTGGAAACTCAACAAAGAGAGAAGCAACCTGGAATTAAGGAGAAACTTCCTGATAGTGAGGACAATTAACCAGTGGAACAGTTTGTCTTTAGAAATCATGGGCGCTCCATCATTGGAGATTTTTAAGAAGGGGCTAGACAGTCACTTGTCTGAGATGGTATAGGTTCTCCTGCTTGAGCAGGGGGCTGGATTAGAAGACCTCCAAGGTCCCTTCCAGCTCTGTTCTGTTCTGTTCCATTCCGTTCCGTTCCATTCCATTCCTTCTTTCCTTCATTTTTTTCCCATTAATTTTCTTCCTTTGCTTCTGTTTAGCTCCATCACTATTTGAGAACCATCTCTTTTAATAACACCGCAGGACAGAAAGTTTCATTTAACGGAAATGGAGACTTGGACACTGGATTTGACATTACCAACTGGGTCACCTTCTCAAACAAGAGCTTTGTTAAAGTCAAGGTTGGAAAGGTCAACCCAACAGCTTCTCTGGATAAACTATTCATCATTTCTACAGAGGACATCATCTGGCCTGCCATGTTTAACCAGGTATTTCCAGCTCAGATTTCAAACTACAGTATGTACATTTTCCCTTCCCTTCTTGCTTTCAGCAATATACATTTGAATTTGTCCTTCAAATTGTCAGAATGAAGACTGACAATCCGAAGAAATAATGATCAATAGCTGCTATCTATTCTTCTAGGACAGTGGTTCTCAACCTTTTTAATGCCACGACCCCCAACTGGTCGTAAGTCGAGGATTAAACCGGTCATAAGTCGAGGACTACCCAACCAGTCGTAAGTCGAGGACTTTCCCTGCCCGGGAGCACTGCACATGCGTGGTTCCGCCCCCTGCGCCGGCCGAGGCGTAGCTGGCAAGTGGCAGAAACGGAGCAGGCCGACCACCAGCTGGCCCAGCCCAAGGGAGGTAAGGCATCCGCCGGAAAAGGGGAAAAATGGCGGACAAAAAAAAAGGCGGACAGCCTTGCTTGGCGACCGCTGTGAAATGGTCGATTGACCCCAAATGGGGTCGCGACCCATAGGTTGAGAACCGCTGTTCTAGGATTTTAAGGTTGTCTGAGTTTAAATTATACAGTTTAATGACTGTATGGTACATGCTGCAGAAATTCCACAATACAAGATGGTATTTTTGGAAAATCCATAACTAATTTCCAAACAGTGACATTGATTTTATTCAAGTTGTATTTCTAGATTCCATGCAAGTTGAAATTACTTTTAATTTTAAAGGAGGAATCACGTTTATACAATATTATTATTGTTGAAACCATAATCACTATATGAATATATGCTCATCATTTTGATATAATAACCCATCACTCTATAGATATTCAATAATAAGATATTCTATATGTCTTCTGCATACTGTCTAGCTTTACCTATTCAGTAAAAAAGGATAAAACTGTTGCTCCTAATTTTATTCTTTTTCCACCAATACTTGAAATATATGACCAACTGAATGGCGGCAATTCTTGTGTTAGGGGCAAACAAAATCAGGAACAAAGACATTACAAAAGCAAAGTTTATTTTGTGCTAGCTTTATAAGAAGAACGTGACCTACTTTCTGCCAAGGCAATTTGGCACAAGATAAAGAGTCAACAGGACTTCAATTGGAGGTGGGACTTATGTCTCTACTGTGTGCAAAGGGACCCCCAGATTGTTTATGCTTTGACTGCACTCTCAGGCTTAACCTGGTCATATCCTACATGGTGTTTACTTTCTTGACATGGCTGGGAAGCAACAAGAAATGGGGAATTCCATATCAATGATCATGTTAACCCTAGTTCAGACAGAACCCCTGGGCATTTGGGGGGCAAAAGGAGAGAAAGAAATTGAAACTCAAGGAAAATAATAATAATAATAATAATAATAATAATAATAATAACAACAACAACAACAACAACACCAACAACAACAACAACAACAACAACAACAATAATAATAATAATAATAATAATAATAATAATAATAATAATAATAATAATAATAATAATAATAATAATAATAATAATAAAGTTGGAAGGGACCTTGGAGGCAGGAAACCCTATACCATTTCAGACAAATGGCCGTCCAGTCTCTTCTTAAAAACTTCCAGTGTTGGAGCATTTACCACTTCTGGAGGCAGGTTGTTCCATTGGTTAATTGTTCTAACTGTCAGGAAGTTTCTCCTTAGTTCTAGGTTGCTTCTCTCCTTGATTAGTTTCCATCCGTTGCTTCTTTTCCTGCCTTCAGGTGCCTTGGAAAATAGTTTCACTCCCTCTTCTTTGTGGCAGCCCCTGAGATACTGGAACACTGCTATCATGTCCCCCCTCGTCCTTCTCTTCATTAAACTAGACATACCCAATTCCAGCAGCCGTTCCTTATATGCTTTAGCCTCCTGTCCCCTAATCATCTTTGTTGCTCTTCTCTGTACTCTTTCTAGAGTCTCAACATCTTTTTTACATCGTGGTTACCAAACCCGGATGCAGTATTAATGCAGCCTAGCACTGTTAATGCAGCCTAGCACTGTGTTGGCTTTTTTGGCAGCTGCAGCACACTGCTGGCTCATATTTAAATGATTGTCCACTAGGACTCTGAGGTCCCTCTCACAGTTACTACTATTGAGCAAGGTACCCCTATACTATACCTGTACATTTGGTTTTTCTTGCCTAAATGTAGAACCTTACTTATTTCCAGCTAATTTATGTATGAGAAACAGCTTTTCTGTTTGACTTTCACCTAGCCAAATGGTGCTATCTTTACCTCTCCAATACTTAAGGTACCCTCCTTCATTTTTCATTCTAGCTCTCATTACCTGTAATTCACTATAATTTGTCTAAAGTGAGGATATTTTGGAACCTCTACATCCAGCATTTATTATTTAAAAGTAAAATCCATACTGAAATAGAATTTTCTGGAAAAAAATGTGTGCCTTGCAATAAAACCTATTTTTGCTTTTTGATAGGTAAAACCACTTTCTGTATGCAATGATAATTGCTATCCCGGCCATAGGAAGATGAAAATAGAAGGAAAGCCATTTTGCTGTTATGATTGCCTTCCATGTGCAAAAGGGAAAATTTCAAACCAGATGGGTAAGAGTAGTCCTGTGCAAGACTATTCAATTTTCTTAACTGTAACTCAGAATGGTAATAATATTTAAACTACTTACAAATGGCTTCTATTCAATGATATTTCTTTATAAATACCAAAAGTGAAAGGATATTTGAAAGAATCCAAAAATAAACTTCTTTTTTTTAAATATATTTTATTAGTTTTTTAATTTCTTAAGAAAAAGTACTCAAGACCCACCGTGGTGTTTGGGTGGTCAAACATTCAAAAGTAAAGACATACTGTATATAAACAGCTCGGTTCTGGTTCGCGGCATTTCTAGTCGTATAGGGAGACTCGTCTCCTTGTTGGCTAGCTTTCCCTCCACCGGTCGACCCTTATACGGGTCGAAAGTCGCCCTGGAGGGTGCAACTTCCGTCGAGGAGGCTTCAGCTTGGCTGCAGAGGAGCGGCGGCTCCTCCAACTGTCTGGCCCATCTCTGAGGGCCAACGGAGAAGAAGATCGGCCAGTAAAATGGCCAATCACCCTGCTGCTTCAAACCGCAAGTCAAAGAACATCTAAGCTGTAAGAACCCCCATGGTGAATCCGGGTGAGACTTTTCTTTGTTACTCTCTCTACTTTACTTCGCTTTTGTAACCTGTAAGAGCCTTGTTGGAATTATTTCCCTGGCTTGAGAAGGCAGCTTCTATGTGTTTGGGAAGGAAGGCGTTTTGTTTAAGACTATATCTTATTTTCATATTTTTTGGGATACAGAAAATTTTCTCTCCTTTTTTCTAAGAATTGTACTATCATCTGATGTTGGAAGATTATTGCTTCTTTTACACTATACTCTTAAAGACTGGAAAAGATTTTTTTCTTAACCTACTGAGGACATCTAGTGGCAAAAATTTAACATTGTAATTTCTGGTTACTGTTTGAAAAGATCTGACCTTCAAATTATTTTTGAAAAAAGATAAGCTGTGCAGCTGTTGGGAACTGTGGGGATGGACACTGACTAATTTTCATTAAATACAGTCCCCACAAAAAAGAAAAAGAAAAAAAGAGATTTTTTTCTACTTACTATTAAAATGGAGGAACCACATTCACAACTAAACTATAATCTTATACTGGAAAAGATATATGAGGCCACTGCAGAAATTTGTGCCATATTGAAAGAACCTATTACAGAACTAAAATCCAGAAATCTCACGTCAAACATTCAAACGGATGCTCAGACTACATCTGACTACTCTACAAATCAAAACATACTAGAAGAGGAATTAACAGAGATAAAAGAGGAACTCATCATACCTTACAAATCTCTCATTTGTAACCTTGAGGAACAGAAGAAGCAAAGACTGAGATTTGAAACTACAAAGTAACGATATTTTAAGGAGGAGAGAAACAGACGCTTGACACAGAGGATGGGACTCTTATTCTTTCAAAGCTCACTGCAAGCAACAAAAATAGATCTACTGGCTGAAAGGGAAGCTTCTTTATGGAAACCTACCTGGCATAGGAAAAAAGCCAGAATTAGATTGAAAAGAGAAATTTAAAATTCTGTAATGGAATAAAAGGCAACGCTGGATTTATGGACTGTTTTAAGGATTAAGGCTGATAGATATTTTAAACAGATTAAGAATGTACTGGATTTGTGTATTTATGTAGTGAATAATAGATTCAATTTGATGAAAATCATTATGTATTGGAATTGAAAAAATGATGACTGTTTTGATTGGATGGTTTCAATAATCAATGGAGTGCTTTAAATTAGTAAGATGACCTTTTTGTATGACAACAAAGATGTGATAAGGCATGATACGTAATTGGAGAAAATTTGAATTTTGTTTAATGAATTTGAATGAATTAAGGATTAATATTATTTTGTTATTTTAAAGAGATGGATTGATTGTGGGATTATATATGTATAGGGTTGATTAATATTTTATTGCTATTAGGATATCTATTGTGTTGTGGAAGAAGAAACAAATGAGATTGGTGATAAAATGAGGGATGTGAGAGATTAAGAATTAGAATTGATAATTTGTTGTTTTAAAGTTAAACTAAGGTAATTGTAAACTGATAAAGTTATAAAACAGGTTTAGCAGTTATAGAAATTTAAAATAGAAATGGAATATTTTAAATGTATTATGTTATTCGAGGGAAATAGAGAGGGGATAGTGAAATGTATTGTGCAAAAATAAACTTCTAATCTCATTTGTTCTAGATTGTTCCAATTACAGTTTCTAATTAATGCTGCAATTTTGTTTTCCAAGATAAAATAACTCGTGTTAGTATGGGTGTATATAAAAGGAAAGGGATAGAACTGGGATATATTTGCTGAATTTAGGAATTCCATTTAATAATAATATCCCATATAATATTCACTTTCTTCCTGCTCATATAAGCATTTTTGTTTTTCATTTTTTCCCAAAAAGGTCTGAATGATGAAATATTCCAATAATGGAGAAAATCTGCAAGTCAGGATTGAAATGAGGAGTCATTGCTGCTCTCTAATCTTCATTGTTTTCTTTATAATTTTATTACCCAAACTCGATACCTTTATCAGTCCTAGTCTAGGATTAACATTGATATATATATATATATATATATATATATATATATATATATATATATATATATATATATATATATATATATATATATATATATATATATATATATATATATATATATATATATATATATATATATATATATTTGTTTTTTAAGGTTTTCACGGGTGTTTATATGTGAGTCTTTGGTCATTCGGGTTTTCTCCCGTGTAAG